CCTTCATGGTCATGATTTCTATTGTGTTTTCTTCATGAATTATTAATGAGTTTTCTAATGGATCTTTGCTATTTTTTGTTGTCAGGGTGATGGTATAAGTTATGAATCCTTAGGAAAAATACTTGAAAATGTGAAAAAACACAAATGGAGTACAGATAACGTTGCATTTGGTAGTGGGGGTAAGTAAAGTTTCTAGGTCCAATGACTCCCATGACAATAAAGAGCTCTTTTACCAAAATTACCAGTTTCCTGCAGTTTGGCTTTGATTAGCTAAGCAACAGCTTAAGTATAAGCCGAATTGAAAACATTAATAATTACAAAGAAATGTAAAGAGCCTGATATATATTAATGAGTTGCCGAGTTTTACAAGTCTCGCTCGCCTTCTTTTTTCCCTTAATCTGTAATCTTTAATCAGCTGTCTCCTAAAACAGTAGTGCACAATTTGAATCCGAAATGCTACCGGGGGGAGGGGGGATAGCTAGCTATATCTGGAGCTATTCCATTCTCGTACCCAGACCCTACTCATTAGGCTCTAGGAAACTCTACTGATCGACGGAAGCTAGAATTTTGTGACCAGATCACCAGAGCGCGTGCTAAGCTTGCTAGTTTTTGCTAGCGTTATATGATAAAAAATAGCATGACAGTATATATAATAATATTATTGTGAAAATAGATTAGAAGGACAGCAAATTGTTAATTTTTAATCGCTTTCTCTTTATATGGTAAGATCCGTTACTATAGTATTTATTAAAAATATCTSTCCTTAAGATATTGCTTTATGTTTTAAAGCGAGGACAGACGGTGCAACATTGCACGCAATATTGCACGCAACAAATTTGAATCGGGGTGACACACGATGCAACAAAATCACGCAACATGTACATCGCTTGTGTCAGCCTGATATGCTTAAAAATTTAGTCAGCTGTTATAAATTTAGTGCAAGCTTATTGGCTGGAAATTTCAAAATATTGCACGAAATGTTGCAGGCCTGTTCACACGATGAAAATTGTTGCGCGCAATGTTGCAAGAGTAGAGCGCAACTTCAGATGCAACTTCAGATTTGTTGCATGCAATGTTGCATTCAACAAGCTTCAGGGGTAGACACACGCTGCAACAGTCCTGTTGTGTGCAATGTTGCACCGTGTGTCCGTACCTTTAGGTCACCGTGTTTCCGGGCTTGAATTTGTTTTCTTAGCTTCTTCGCAAAAGATATTCCCAATTTAGTGCTGCAGTTTTAAATTTAAATTTTCTTTCGTCTATCTAAGAAGTGTAGGCCTTATGGAAATATTTTTGTTAAAAAATTTAGAATGTTTCATACATTTAGCCAATCAGTCAGCCAATCAGATCACTTAAATTATAGGGTTTCCATAGCCTAGGATTTTGCTAATGAGTGGGGTCTGGAATGGGAGCAAGTCTAAAGATGTTTGGGAGGTGCCTACACTTAAAAGGTATCAAACCCAAACTCTTAAAACTCCCGAATTGACTAGTTTTGATGTACTTTTTCATGTTATGGTGTTAATTCGAAAAACTTTTTCCCATTCCTCAACTCGTTTTTAAAGTGGGTATTTGATTACAGTCAATTCAAAAAACGTTGTCGTCGACCGGCTCAAGCCTACGCGACTGGACCGAAAGAAATATGGGTAAAAATCACTGAAGCGGTTTAAATATTCGTTCTGAATTAATTGTTCCCGCTAGTAATAAGATAATAATGGCAAGAAACAATCCATCAAATGCATGTCTTTGGGTTTGGGAAAGAAAAACAAGGTAGTTATGATTCAGTTCACAATTTCGAAAATATGAAGGCATTAAAAAAACGTCTCCTTAAACACTTCCCGCTCGCCTACGAACGTTCGTGCTGTAAACCAGGCATAACTAGTCAGATAAAATTATGCAGTCAACTCGGCTTCAATGATTACTACCCATAGTTCCTTTCGGTCTAGTCGCATAGGCTTGAGTTGCTCGACGACAACATTTTTTGAATTGACTGTATACATGTCAAAATGAAAGTCGAATTACCATATAACATAACATTCTACTTGAATCACTAGGCGCTCTTCTTCAAAGGTTGGACCGAGATACTCAGAAGTTTGCCTACAAATGTTCCTATGCTGTGATCAACGATAAAGGGGTAAAAAATTAAACATGCTATACTTGTCATAATGTGCTGAGAAGTTTTTGGTCGGTTTGTATCAAATTTACTCTCTACTATGATCAAATCTCTGACTTGCTGGTTGTTGTTGTTGTTGTTGTTGTTTTGTTTTGTTTTGCCAGGATTGAAAGGCCTTTGATAGTGAAGTGAAATACCACTTTCCTTTTTCAAATATCTTTTTGTTCTTCAAAAAATATTGGAGCTTAACAAATTGCTGCCATTTTCCTGATGACGTCATATCCTCATTAGTTGACCAGCCTAGGATTATGATAACCTATATCGCAGCCCAATTTCAATAAAAAGTCAGTCAGTCATTTAGGAAGTTTAAGGCATTTTTAAGGCATATGCTATTAATTAATTTTAAACTTTAACTAGGTTTACAATAAACTGTTGAAGTAGTCAATGCGACTAGGAATAAAGGCATGCATGAGTGTCTCTGTACACTCCTTGCTAAGATATTTCCTGATTCGTCTGATATTATACAAACAATAGAACGCAGCAGGGCTTGTTTTCGTAATGTGCTCACTCATCGATAGATTGGAATCTAACCATAGTTTTTTTACGTAATATTAACTTAAACTTCTTCTCTTTTGATTTACGCAAATCGCTCGGTATCTTATTCCATAACCTAGCTCCAAATCTTGAAAATGAATTTTTTTGCACTTCAAGTTGAGATTTTTTAATATAGAAATTTCCTGATCATGAGAATCTTGTGTTATATGAGTGAACACTCGAAGCAAGGGTAAATTGATTTAGAATATCAAGAGGTGCAAGCTTATTTTCAATATCATGCATAAAGAGGGCGTCTCTGTAACAGCGTGCCACTCGATCTTGGCTCGAAAAATAGATTTCTTTTATATTCCTA